CAGATCCCAAGCCGTTACACGCCCACGCGTCGCGACTGCTCGCACGCCGTTGATTTTGCACTCCTCCCAGTCCTTCTAGTTGGTATAGGAAAGGTCACGGGCTTTGTACGATTCAGGTCCAAATAAATAGGTCAGAAAGAACTGAAACGCAGGCCGAACGTCACTGAGGCCAAATGTATGTGAGAGACACTCCCGACAACATTCATAAATCCCTCTACGTCTCTGATGGTCAAACCTGCTTCTCTAAGCTCTACCACGCTCTATCCTATCCGAAAACTACAGCAAGAGTATTACTACAAGCGCAAAAAGCTGGAAACCTAGAAAGAAGCATCTAGACTAAAACTAAGTTGGAATGGAAGTTAGTTTCTACGAAAAACAAAATAAGATCCTGGAAAAAAGGGCCATTTTCTGTAGAAAGGGGCACCAGTTTCAATTTTGTTGGCAAAAAGCTGGTCCTGTTTGCGCTTTCTCAATCTGCTTCGATATTTTTACGGCTCCCTCCAGACCCGGATACGGTAGTGACTGAATGAGCACTGAATACCCCCCTCCCACAGCAAATAATCGGAGCGATCTGGACAAAGACTTCGGTTGTTTTCGCACGATCTATTGACACCTAGGACCTGCACCTCCAAATACATAGAGCGGTCTCATGTCCGGGTCAGCATGACCAGACCGAAATAGGGGGAAAAAGCGAAAGGAGATTTTGAACCCTTCAGCAAATACCACTCAGCAGAAGGTAGTTTCAACCTTTTTGGCGATTCCAATGCAATTCAAACAACAACCTGGGAATTTCCTACCTGTGACAAAGAAGGTGCCAAGTGGGCTTGAGCTGGCGTTCCGTTCGTACGCACAGACGACGGAGACACTGATGGCGCCACCAGTTCTTTCTTGTCAAGCTAAAATAAACGATGCAGAGCTAGCGAGCGCAAATTGTAGTCACCATTATGTACAACAGTCTTTATCCCTGTGAATGAGAGGGCGTGTGAAGCGGCCGGCGGACTGAAGCGCAGCCACGACACCGTCCACCTACCACTTTTCCCAATTACTCCTACACTTTTCCCAGAAAGCTGCCTCGGGAGGGGGTATGAAGCACTCGAAACAGGAAAAACCAAGAAAAGTCAGGTACCAAAATATTTTTCTCGAATGCAAATATGATCTGTCGCTCTCTCTGGCCACCGACTACGACCCTCGCTGAAGATACCCAACATGCGACGCCTTCAGGCCCACTACGAGAAAGAGCTGCCCACCAATAAATCAAATTATACTGTAAAATATGAATAATTCAAAAATATTCCTACCTGCAAGAGACCGAACGCAGTGCCGTCTATGCCTACGTGACAAGTATGTCGAACTTCTCCAACCGGTTCTGAGATCAACGCTTTCCTCTTTTCTCGCTCGCGTTCCTTATCCTTAAGCGAAAATCTCTAAAAATATCGATAATTGTTGGCGTTGATAATTGCTATTGTTATTTATTCAGCCTTTCGCTGCATGTGATGGGGCGTGTCAAACAGGCTGGATTTAGCGCGCCGACAGCCCGTTCTCCACCATTTGTTGAAGGGGACTACTGACGAAAAGCCGCTGATACGAACATTATGCTGCAGTATTGTGGGTTGAGGAAAAAAAAGAAGAAAAATAAACGGTCTGGCGTCGCGCCAAATCCATTCCCTTGGCATGCCCCATGTCCGCAGCAACTATATTTGCTCAGATACCAAAAAACGGAGGGATCACTCATGGACCTGGAGTCTCGAGTTGAACACTTGATTTTCTGCGCTAATCGAAGCAAAAGTCTCGACTATCCATTTGGGAGGGGTAAAAGTTACTGCTTCAGAGGCACATTCAACTCTGATCGTATGGGGGAGTCAGGCCTGTGATTGCGCCTTCCTTATTGGTCACCAACCCCCGTTTAGAGGCACTGGGCACGATTGCTGACCAACTACGTCTAAGCATGACCAACTAACCTTCTTCGTCGGCTTCTTGTCTTCTTTCTCCTTTTTCTCGATGCTTTTCGCTACACATCCACTGGAAATCACTTCCACAGTAGATGGATTTTCTGCTCCTGTAAAAAGTGGCGAGCTATTTAGGATACTGGACAGTTTTTCTATTCAAAATAGATATAATTATAGATCCAAAATTAAAGTTCAAATTTTAGCCGAAAAATTAAGTCAACAACAGCTTCACTTACCCAGATGAGCTACTGTATCGGTCGGTCTGAACAGACCAGTACGGCCGTTTCGAAGTGATCCCAGCCAGTAGTACCCGTCCGGATAACTAGAGGGCCTGAAGAGAAACCAGCGTAAAGAAATATAGGGGTGCCGGTTAGGAGATCTATGCGCGACACGCACAAGTCGAGGCTTGTTTCAGAGAGACGACTCGACGTCTAGGTGAAATCAGTTAGCTCCTGGTTTCAATGACGCGCACGGTCATCGCAACGTGGATCTCCCAACAAACCCAAGTTCAATATGAGCTTCCGGATATCACTTTACCAGTTCGTCGATACACCACATGAGATCGTGCTTGTCGAAAATTGTAAAATGCGCTCGCTTTGAGTCTGGGCCGCACAAACTCCAGAATGCGCTCACAGTTTGTGTCGACTAACCTGAAAAAAGCAGTATTACAAAAAGTTTCGCTCTTAGGTCTACAATTGCTGTACTCTAATACATCCGTCGTAAGTCTCGATTGCAAAACCACTAGAAATACTGACGATGATACGCACACCGCAGGAGCTAGGCGTAAAACAGGCCACCCGAGGAGCAGGTAAATAGTTTTTTTGCGCAAAAGTGGGGTTGCCGTAATAAATATGAGGATTTTTTGGTCAGCTTGAGGCAGGAACGGGCTCAACGATGGACACAGCACAGTCTCAGCCTAGCGAAGGAACCCCCAAATGCCCCCGCCAACCAGCAGATTCTTCCTGCTAATACTATGCAAATCATTGAAATAGCAGAATTGTTTTCTTTTCGACAACAAACTAAAAGGTTGCAAAAAATACCACGACTCGGCTGGTAGACGCTGACAACGGGACTCGTTTTTTCGCCATATAAGGATCGCAGAATAAACCAGACCGTTTAACAGCGGTCGCATTTTCGACAACTTTGAGGCCAAAGCCAACAATCTCGATCGATTTAGGAGGGGTAAAAACTAGTTTCGCTGAAACTTCGACGAACTTTTTGAGAATGATCTGTAAAGCAAGCACTCTGGTTGCAAGCCATATCTTCTATTGCAATTCACCTACTGGTCGTAGAGAGTGTGGGAATGTGATGAGAAACCTGGGGAAGCAAGGGGGGGGGGCGGGAATGACAATAACTTTCCGTCAGAGGATTTGCGGTAGCAGGGCACCTTTATGGACACTTCTGAGAGTATTAAACTAGGCAATGACTATGCGCGGCGTGTCCCGAAGATTTTCCATGGCGCTCGTATTTTTGGCATTCTTCATTATGTATTCATAAGAGCGTGCCAATGATTCAAAACACTAAGGACTGAAGTCCAGTATATACGCGCACTTCCCTAGTGTCGAGCCATCAAGTACAGATTTGTGAAATCTAGCAAGAGACTACTTGTCAAGCCTTGTAAAGAATACATGTCAACTCTTGTAAAGCAATCAATAGGAAGATGAGAACTAGCGGTGCAAAAAGCCCCCCCCCCCCCAAGCGGAGCTGTGCCGAAATACACCCAGCACTAAATCGAAAAACCTAGAGTTCAAAAATTACAGAATTCAAAATGACGGATATCCTTTCCCATTCAGCCTGTGGGAAAGATCTGAGACGAACGGAAGTGGTAGAAAGAATGAGATAATGCGTATGAGGCGAGGCAGGCCATTAGCAATGCCCCATCACGCAGCGTGGGAAACGGTGAATAACGCCGTCCGCCGGAAGTCATCACCACAACGCCCACACGATCCGGACCATTCGACCTCGGAAAGAAAAGAACGGCGGGTCTCGATCGCTACTCGAAGGGAACTCCTAATCATTAGGTTACCAAAGACCATTAATTACTAACCTCGTCTTTCCGTTTGAAGGAGAATTTTTGCAGAACATGACCCCCCGAACTTCCTCCTCCACGACCCACCTTCCCCATTCTATCTTCCTAAGTTCTACCATCTTCCTAAGTTCCAACTTTCTACCATTCTTCCGGAGTTTCTTCAGAAAGTTTCTCCAGCGTTTCCCCAAAAAACTGCCGTCGAGCTGGAGGGTAAGGGGGTGGGGGAGGGGAGGGGGGAGGCGAGAGGGTTATGATGCCCTTATGGTTATGGTGGTGAACAAGAAAAACAGAGGAGAAAATTTAACAACCGAAAACATTTTCCCAAGGGCAAATATGACCCCTCGCTCACTCCAGCTACCGAATGCGACCCCCCCCCTGCCAAAGATCCTCATCCCGCGACGTGCCCTGCTTATACTGCAATCGCAGTCAGCTCATCGGTGGCCGCAATAGGTCAGCTACTTGCAGAAAAGGCTGAGAAGCAGAGTTACATTTTGTTACACGAGGGGTGGTCCGATTTTAGGGCAGGGCCAAAATCCGTTTCAGAAAGAATGTGTTTCAACTTTCTAGCAACGTACCCTGTTACTCAACCTCTTTATTTACACATTTTTTCGCAGAATTGAAACAACTCTTTTTTTTGCTGAGAGCGCATCATCGTTGGGTAATATACAACAGGGTCGTATTCGCCGCCGATGAGTGGAGTACTTAGTTGCAACTTTTCTTGAATTTTTGATTTTTTCCGCTTTCAGGCACGCTATATTAAATTTTCGCTGTTCTAGGCGCGTCATGAATGCCCTGCCACACGGCAGTCTCTCGGGAGAGGTTTGGGGTAGGTAGATTCCGAAAATGGGGCGCAAAGAAGACATGTCCTGTTGTGTGGTAAGGGGGGGGGGGATGAACTGAGCAAACTTCTCGTCAAAGCTTTCATGAGTCCTGACATCAGTATTAAAATAAATCCGTAAAAAAGAGACGGAGATGCAGGCAAAAGCTGCTCACAGTGGGGTAACCTGGCTCTCAGACGAAAGAAGAAAGAAGAACACCAAGAAAAGGGTAAAAAGACTACTCCGAAGAAGGTTACCTTTCCGGGAATTGTGTCATAATTTGGGCAAATGTTGGTCGTTTAATGGGGGCGTAATTCCAGCATTCCTCCATCAATGTATACATATCCTTCGGGACAAGCTGTCGGTCGGTCGAGATGCTTTCGTTGCTGATCGATCAGATTGAGAATCTGAAAGTGCGCTCTCCTTTAGCAATTTTATAAGTAACCTTACTCAAATAATACCAGACTGAATTGGAACCAGATTTG